TATATATATATATATATATATATGTAGAAAGAGAGAAAGAGAATATTAATAATTGCAACTATGGTATGGAATTCTTCGATTTTGTTTATTCGACCTCGGTAACTATTTTTCCAAAAGTTATTTCATTTTATTAGCCAAAGAGGGAAGCAAAAGCTCGGGAAATATATACTTTTTACATTGCAAAATTCTCGAATTTCTCTTTACTGTATAAAATGTAAAATGCTTTCGCGGGTCAATCTAAAATATTAAAAATGCATGAAATGTAATAGTCCGATCAATTTATTTAATGTTCACAATGTACTAAACAGATTAGGTTTAGACAGGTTAAATTTGTATAAATCTGAATAAATTTTTTCAAACACTTCCGAATATATATACACTTTCATCTTCCATGAAAAAAACATTACTAGTTCCAAATCTAACTTGATCTTCCTCGTAAATTCTCAACATTAAATAAATGAAATTTCCTTTGTGCCCTTGCTCTCTTTAAGGAAAGAAAATTAGAATCAAATAGGCGAAATTACTGAACTGAATTATTAAAATAACCACGAATGAAAATCTCCGACGTGTTGAATTATGGGAAATGGCGGGTGCGATAGATTGGAGTAGTGAACGACTCACATTATACAATACGAACTATCGTTAAAAGAGTATCGAAAGTTAATGAGAATCTTTCGTTCGTTTGTTTTAATTACAATGAACTTCCCTCCTTCGCAATGGAATGGGGGATGAATGTTAAAACACTTTTATTCACACTTGACATAATCCATCGCCTATGCCGTATGTGTTGTCTTTCAGGCAATTAAAAGACGGTTAAATAGCCAATAACTACCTCGGGGCCAGAACGAACGACAATATCAGAAGTACGTTTGATAATTTCGTTTTTGCGTCAAGCTGATACACCAGGTGGAGATAATTAATTACAGCTGGAGATAATTAACTGCACCATTGCGACTGCGCTCTAATGAATTCACGCTACATTTACTTTCGCAACGAATTATTTCCCTTTTAGACAGAGATATGGAAATCGAGGTAAGGAGGGGATGAAGGTAGAGAAGAGGAGAGACAGTGCTACGGCAGAAGACGTCGCTCTCCTTTTGAAAAACAAAGGCGCCGCAACAGACGCGCGATACACAATAGCACGAAGCT